GCTCCGTCCCCGGCGCGCGGCTGCCGGGCGGCATCACGGGAGCCCCAGCGCCGGCCTGGCGGCACCGCGGGGCTCCAGCCCGGCCCTTCGGGAGCCTTTTCCCCCCAAACTCCCGGAGGAATCCCCGGAGCCACCCTCCTTCCGAGGGAGCCGGAGCCGGGCGCTCTCCCTCCCGCATCCCTGCGCCTGGGGAAGGGCTGCGCTCCCCGGATGGGCCCGTTGGAGCCCCGGGAAGCTCCGCGAGGCAGTGGGAATCGCCACTCTTTGCCCTTCTCCGGTGCCTTTCAGCCGCGGATCCCAAAGCGCTCCAAAGCGGAGCCTAATTAGGCAGAAAAGGGAACAGCTGGCAGGACGGGATGCGGGGGGAACGGCCTCGCTCCGCTTCCCGGCACGGAGCAGCGGGCAGAAGGTTGCGCATCCGCCTCCGAGCCGGGGATTAACTCCTCCGAGTGCCCCCTGCTCCCCGCGGCTTCCCGAGGACGGCGCCGCTGCTCCCGCTCCGGAGCAGCGCACGCAGCAGCGGGCACCGGGATGGGCTGTTTTCCAGGAAGGATCAGCCCTGGAGCTCCCAACCTCAATGCCAACGCGCATCCCGAAGCGACGCGTCCCTGCTCATCCTGCACCGCGCGGACACGCGCGTCGCCTCCCTTCAAACTCCCCCGCTCCTTCCCGCACAGCCGACGTCTCCCGGATCGCACGGATCCATGGAAATGATTCCCTCAGTAAGCGTGATGCTGGGCCCCACGGAGCCGCCTTCCTCCTCCTCCTCCTGGAGGAAGCTGCGGCAGGATTCCCTGCTGCTTCCCACTGCCACCGGCTCCCTGCACTTGAGGAAAGTTTGGAAGGAGACTCTCCACAGACGCAGGACGAGGAGGCGAGCGTTAAAGAACATCCTGGGAAGCAGCTTGGCGTCCCCTCTGGAGCCACGTGCCCGACTTTGGGATGGAGGGACTCGCTGGGCGCCGCGCTCGCCGGTTACGGACACAACCACCTCCCTCCCCCACGCGACGGAAACCGCATCGATAGATCCCCCATCTGCTCACATACATCACAGCCTTCACTCCAGTTTATTAGCTGGAATAAATCATAAATATTTCATTATACATCAACGATGCTCGACTCCAGGAAGGCGCAATCCATCACCCCGACACTCCGCGCGACCCGCCGCCACGCAATAAGCTTTCCAGTCTATTAACCAAGATTGATACAGTGTGCTGGGATGGACTAGGGGAATTTATTTACGGAGCGCCGGGAGAGCGAGGGCACCGAGCACGCGGCGCCGCCGGGATGAACCGCGGCTCTTCCCCATGGACGGGGCAACCCGAGCAGAAAGCAGGAGCAAAGCGCCGCGTCCGTGGCCAAGGAGGGCCGGGCAGGACGAGCGGATCCGTTCCCGAAGGCCGCTCCATCCGCAGCCAGGGGCTCGCGGGATGCGGTGGATCCCGGTCGGGCCGGGATTGATCCATGCAGGCTGCTCCGGAGGGGCTGCCGGCCCCGGCGGGGATGATGTATGGGCGCGTGGCTATGTAATGAAATGCTAAATGACAGCCTAAATGACAGAGGCGACGCTGCCGTGATTTATGGCACGCGGCGAGCAACGTTTGTCACCGCTGTCAGCCACCTTGGCTACGAAGAGGCTGCTCTGGAGGTTACGGCGCAAATTGCAGTTAATTAACAGTAATTAGCACTGCTGAAATCCAGGATTTTTGCCCCCTTGGAGAGGCCTGTTGTGCTGCTGTATGTGTCCCTCTCCCTCAGCTCATCCCGGTGACAGTGGGGACAGAGGACCCTGGGAAATGGGGAGGTTGGGGTTCAGCTTTAGCACTTCCCTGGGTTTTACTCCATTCCTCGGCTTCACCGTTGCCCCTTGCTCCTGCTGCTGCTCCGGGAGGGAAGCACCAGCCCCGGGGCAGCCTGTGGGCATCGCGCTGGCCCCGAGAGCCCATCCAAGACCCTGCCGGGGCCCTCGGAACCGGCACACGCGGCTGGGCCCGGCTCGCCGGGCCGCCCGCCCAGAGCATCAAAGGTGCCAGCGGGGAGACACAGAGTTTGGGACGTCTTTAAGCCCCCATGCACAGCACTCACACACCGATTATTCCGGAGGAAGCCGTCTCTGCTCCCCAGGGCTCCCATTTCCTTGGATTTTGCAGAGCCTCCAGGGTGGTGCAGGGGGACGGTGCTGGCGCCTTCGTCTCGCTCCATGCAGAGCTCCTGTCCCTGCTGCAGCCAGGTCCGGCCAGGGACATCCCAAGGGACCGACATGCCTAGGATGACACCGGCTGCTGCGGTGCCGTCCCCAGACTGCAACAGGAGCCGGGTTGCTCGGTGGGCACCGGCACCGAGCAGCTTTGCACCCGCGTGAAATCCGGAGGTAATTTAATGGCTCACAAGAAAGGAAATAAATCTATTAGAAGGGAATCGCTGCTTGTTTATGCATCTTGCCACGAACAGCACCACGAGCAGCAGCAGCAGCAGGTGCGTGTGCAAGCACCATTTATTTACATAATAAAATTGCCAAGGAGATTTGTGGCTCGGGGCAGCCCTCGCTCCCGTTAGCACTAACGGAGTCGGATCCGCTCCAGCTTCCATGCCGGGACTCTCAGGGCAAAACCACCCGCTCTGCCTGGTCCAGCAGGACCCTGCAGGGTCCCTGTCACCAGCAGGACCTGCCGGGGGACAGGCAGGACACGAGCAGGATGAGTGGAGGGAACCCCCCGGCTGTCTGCAGCCAGAATTACCACAGATGGGTTTGCCCTGAGGACAAGCCAGAAATGAAAATGGGTAAGTAAAAACGAAAAACATTTTTTTTTCCTTCACATTATCATTTAAATATTTAAAGAAATCCCCGCAGACAACAAGATGAGAAAGGAAATTCAAAGACTAATAAATAAGTAACGTTCCAAGGTGGGGCAGCCTGGCCGAGCATGGCTTTGAAGAGCACAGCGATGCACAAAGGGTTAAAAATAATAATTGCAATAACAAGAAGTGGACAAAAAGCCTGTGCTGGGGCTCCTGCCCTCTGCAGAAGAGCCGAGGGATGGATTGCAGTGAGTAGAGAGCGCTGCCCTTGAGAGAGCAGCGACCTGAGCGTCCCTTGCGAGAGCAGCTATTAAATAGTGCGGAGATAACGGAACAGGGATGTTGACTGAGAGATGCAGGGTGGGGTATGGGGAAAGATTTCTGCCTTAAACTGTTTGCTCAAAT